TCAGGTAATCCACTCACCTCAGCCTCCCAAAGCGTGGGATTACAGGCTGAGCCACTGAGCCCGGCTCACTCTGTGAATTTTAACTGCTCCCCAGATACTGAGGATTCCCAAATCGGTATCTCCAACTGCACCCTCTTCCCAAGTGTGATTTGGGTTCAGACACATCAACTGCTCATTAGACGATAGCGCTTGCATGTTCCCCATGGGTACCTTAAACGCAGGGACTCTTATATTTGGGAGTGGAAATAATAGACCCTGAGGACACTAAAAGCGGGGAGACGGAGAGGACAGTCAGGACTCGGAAGTTATCTATTGGGTACAGTGTTCACTGTGCGGGGAATGGGCCACCTGAAGCCCAATCCCCACCAGTACACAATATGTCTGTGTAACAAACATGCACTTTGTATCCCCTGGATCTAAAAAAAAAAAAAAAAAAGGTTGGGCGCGGTGGCTCATGTCTGTAATCCCAGCACTTTGAGAGGCGGAGATGAGGGGGTTGCCTGAGCCCAGGGGTTCGAGACCAGCCTGGGCAACTTGGTAAGACCTCATCTTTACAATAAAAAAAAAAAAAAATTAGCCAAGTGTGGTGGCAGGCACCTGTGGTTTCAGTTACTTGAAAAGCCGAGGAGGAAGGATTACCTGAGCCCAGCAGGTCAAGGCTGCAGTGTCTGTGAGTGTGCCACTGCACTCCAGCCTGGGTGACAGAGTGAGACTCCAACTAAAAATAATAATAAAAAAATAACAGAAAGAAAAATAAAACTCAGTGACTCTATATGTGAGCTTGTCACCTTTTCCCCCGTCCTACATTTCTCTTCTTTCTCAGTTTCCAATCCTAGTGGACAGTCCAGGGCAATGGCTTGGCATCTCAAGTAGGAACCGGCAAGTTATCTAAGACTCTTCTGTGTCCCCCACCCTCCACTCAATGTCCAAATTTTGTCCATCTCCCTTCTAAGCGCATGTAAGATCTGTCTCTCACTCTCTTCAGTTTTACTAGCTGTGGATTTCAGACTTGGAATCAGACAGTAACGCTCTTCTTGACTGTTCCTTTTTCTTCCTAAGTGAACCATCTCGTGCCTAAATATTTCTGTGGTTTCCCACAGCCTATAGAATCCAACAGAGACTTCTGGTGTCCAACCAAATGTCCCTCATGACTGTCTCTTGCCCACCCCAGTGTTGTCTACTGCCGCTGTCACCCCTTATTTCACACCTTCAGGGCTGTTGGTCATCTGACATGGGTGCCACGCTGTCTTATGCTTCCACAGCTTGGCAGATACTGTTCTGTCTGTCTGATACACCATTGCCACCATTCTTTGCCTGGCTAATTCTTACATGCCCTTAACTCAGCTCAGGTGTTATTCATTCAACAAAAACGAACTGAGCACCAAGTATGTACCAGGCAGTGTTGAGGTTCCAGTGTTGGACAGGCTGACAGGGACTCTGTCCTTACGGAACTTTTTCCTAACACATCTTTCATGGAACCACACAGTTGGGTTGAATGCCTCTCCCTCTGCCTGCCCTCCCAGCAGCTAGTTTGTATGCCATCTCTACCTGATGGCTAAAACTTCCGGGCTCTCCTTCCTAATGGACTTCAAATTTCTTGAGGGTAGGGGTCATGCCACGGTTAACTCAGTATTTTCAGTGCCTGATTGAGGGTCAGTATGGTTTCCTGGTCACTCAACATGACTCCGTGTCTCTGCTTAAACGTCCCATTCTCAAGCTTTCCTTAGCCCTCTAGAAAAGTCCGCCATCCTTATGCTATGCCCCTATGACAACCTTCACTATTTTTTCCCAGAATTTTGTAACTGATTATGTTTTTGGTTATTTACATGATTGCTGAAATTTGGTTGTCTGCAATAAGTTGTCAATTCCATACAGTCCAAAGTACAGTGAGCACGCTGCATGACCTATAATAAAGTGCTCGGTAAATATTTGTTAACTGAAAGACTGACATCTGTTCTTGCTGAATATAAATCCTGGATGCCTTACTAGGGCCTAGAGAAAAATTAGAACAACTGCCTGCTGGCCCAATGCCTCACTCTACCCATCTAGAAAATGGAGATATTCCTAGGGGATGATGTTGGCTAGCAGATGAATTTTACATTACAACCACTTAATAATTTAATGTAATGGTGTACACGAAGAGCATATCAAAACAAATATGCATAAATAAATTATACAAAAAGGACAGATGGGATTAAAGAATTAAACACTTCAGCTGGAATTCCAGATGGGCTTTGAAATACCTATTCCAGGATGTGGTACTTTATTTCCCCAGAGGACATATAACCATTTTCTTCTCTTTTTACCTCCCAGCATCTGAGATGAAAATTCTTGAGCAAAACACAATGACTTGAAGAGGTTAAAAAGAAACCTTGTGAAGTATTTGAAATCTATGACTTAGATTTTAAAAATTCACAGTAGAGGTTTGCAGAGATGGACTAGGGAGAGAGCAGGATATTGCTAAGAGACAAAACACAACTATTGTGAAGTCGCCCAAGAATCTGTAGACTCGTACTCTCAGCAGAAGTAATGTGAGTCATTATTTCTGTGTGTGCAGGTGCTTTGAGTACTGAAAGGAAAAAAATACAAAAGCATATCAAATCCTTGTATGTTCTTATGTGTGGCCCAGGATTTGTGATATACTGCCGAAACAACACCTGCCACCAGTATTCTCCTATTTTTATTTACTTATTTATATGTATACAAATGTTTTTGTGAGACAAGGTCTTGCTATGTTGCCCAGGTTGGTCTCAAATTCCTGGCCTCAAGTGATCCTCCTGCCTCAGCCTCCCAAAGTGCTGGGAGTACAGGCGTGAGCCACTGCATTTGAACTCCTTTTGTTTTCTGAGTGTACCCTTCATTTATTCGTATGATTACAAAAGTGATTCAAGCCAGTGTAAGTGAAAACTTCAGGCAGTGCAGATGTCTATGAAAAAGTGAAGGTTCCCCATCCCCTCTTTCTTCTCCGTCTTTCTCATCTGAGGCAGTCTGCTGTCCTGCCCTTGCTGCTGTCTCTACTGCCACTAGGAATCTGTGTGTTGGAGAGAATGGAACAGGAAGGGAGGGAGCGAGCATAGCCAGGTCAATGGGAGATGACAGAGCCCCTGCAAGATGCTTTGAGGCCCGCCTGCTGTAGCAATTCTCAGAGTTTTGGGGGGTCAGGGCCTGTTTATACTCTAAAAAGCTAAAACTGACTGGGCACTGTGGCTCATACCTGCAATCCCAGCATTTTGGGAGGCTGAGAGATGGGAAGATCACTTGAGGCCAGGAGTCTGGGTAACATAGCAAGACTTCATCTCTATAACAAAAAAGAAAGAAAAGAAAAGGAAATTGGCCAGGTATGGTGACTCATGCCTGTAATCTCAGCACTTTGGGAGGCCTAGGGAGGATTGCTTGAGCCCGGGAGCTTGAGACTAGCCTGAGCAACATAGCCAGACCATATCTCTACAAAATATAAGCCAGGTGTGGTGGTGCATGCCTGAAGCAGAAGGATGGCCTGAGCCCAGAAGTCGAAGCTGCAGTGAGGTGTGATCGTGCCACTGCACTCTAGCCCGTGTGACAAAGTAAGACCCTGACACACACACACACACACACACACACACACACACACACACACACACACACACACACACACAAATTATTTTGATCTCATAGGTTTCCCAACTACACTTTGAGAACCACTGCTGGAGAAAATGTGAAATTGAGCTCCATTCTCTCTTTAATCCTGTTTTGTCTAGAAGCCTAAGTCAGCCATGAAAAGAGCAGCACAGAACTGGGGAGAGCTCAAAGGATTTAGGCTGGCCGGGAAAGAGATTTGACGGTGCGAAACACAGCTCACAACACAGTTATTTTTTACCTTCAGACCTCTGAGCCCCACAGCCCCAGACACCTGATGTCTAAGACTTAGGGAAGTTTGGGAATGTGGATAACATGTGTTTTTTTTTTTTTTTTTGAGTTGGAGTCTCACTCTGTCACCCAGACTGGAGTGCAGTGGCTGCTCCCAGTCACCGCAGCCTCGACCCTCTGGGCTCTGGCAATCCTTCTGCCTCAGCCTTCCAAGTAGCTGGAACTACAGGCGCGCGCTACCACACCTGGCTAATTTTTGATTTATTGTAGAGATGAGGTTTCACCAAGTTGCCCAGGTGGGTCTCGAACCCGCGGGCTCAGGCAATTCACTCACCTCAGCCTCCCAAGGCGCAGGATTACAGGCTGAGCCACCGAGCCTGGAGGATGACATGTTTTAGGTCTGTAGAGATTTTTGGCCATGCGCAGGGCTTACTCCTATATCTCAACACTTAGAGGGGGCAGCGTAGGAGGGTTGCTTGGGGTCAGGAATTCAAACCAGCCTGGGAAACATTGCAAGAACCCCATCTCTATTATTTTAAAAAAAAAAAAAAAAACTTTTGGAAAAAAATCTAATGTGTGAGGCTGTCTTTGTTTTGATTTTGAGACAGACTAGACAAAAGGTAGTGGGATGTGGTGAAACTGCTGGTAGTTGGGAGGTATGACTGGGACAGGATGTGACCTTGTGGCAGGATTTTACAGAGAGAGACGGGACACCAAGGCCAGGAAGCAGTGTTTATTTGTGCTGGTACTGGCTCAGGGAATTCACATCCAAAGGCTGAGCCCCAGCAAAGGGGGACATTGCCTTTTATACATTTTTAGCTTCTTTGACCTCCTAATAAGGCTTACATATTAGTAACAGACATTCTAATTGGGTATTTCACAGTTCAAGTTTGCAGTGGAGTTACACACATGCACTACAGATTGGGGGGCTACATTCCTTCCTAACATAAATCTTTCTAAGAAAACTCTTACGGTGCTAGGAGGATCCTTTCACTATTCTGGGAAGGCTTTTATCTTACTGTACTAAGAGGGCCCCTTCTCTATCCTGGGAAGGCCTTCATCTTATTAGGCTTGGGGGGAGGGCTCCCTGCCTCAACCCTGTGACAATGACATTTAGCAGTGACTGGGCTCATCGCCTTCCCGTGTCTCACCAGGTATGAATATGAAACTGCAGATGATGGTCATTCCCCTCTCCTTGGGATTTGTGCTGCTGGCTTTGCTCGTGTTTTTCCTGCGAGGTAAGGAGGTGTGACCAGGTGAGAGGGAACCCTCAAAACTGCTAGGAAGATCTATCTGGGTGTGGCTTGTTCCTTCCCTTCTCTCCCTCCCCAAAGAGGCTTAGTTCTGTCATGGTCTCTGCCCCAGACAGGTAAAATTCTCCATAAGCTGCTAATGACTTTGTGTTATGTCCTCCTGGTGAAGTTTACATGTTGGAAAAGAAAAAACAGTTGGGCTCGGTGGCTCAGTCTGTAATCCCGCGCCTTGGGAGGCTGAGGTGGGTGGATTGCCTGAGCCCCCAAGTTCGAGACCCGCCTGGACAACTTGGTGAGACCTCATCTCTACAATAAATCAAAAATTAGCTGGGCGTGGTAGTGCTCGCCTGTAGTTCCAGCTACTTGGAAGGCTGAGGCGGAAGGATCGCCAGAGCCCAGCAGGTCGAGGCTGTGGTGGCCGGGAGCGGCCACTGCACTCCAGTCTGGGTGACAGAGTCAGACTCCAACTCAAAAAAAAAAAAAAAGAAAAAAGAAAAAGGAAAAAAATTGGATTAAGAGCACTTTCAAACCAGGCACGGTGACTCACACCTGTAGTCCCAGTTCTTTTGGGTGGGTGAGCTAGGAGGATCACTTGATGCCAGGAGTTTGAGACCAGCCTGGCAACATAGTGAAACTTCGTTGCTACAAAATAAATAAATAAGTAGTTGGGCACAGTGGTTTATCCCTGTAGTCCTACCTACTTGATTGAAGCAGGAGGATCAATTGCTTGAGCCAGGAGTTCAAGGCTGCAGTGAGCTAAGATCACACTATTGCACCCCAGTCTGGGTGACAGAGCAAGATTCTATGTCTAAAACATTAAAAAATTTTTAAAAGAGCCTTCATTCATTGGGCACGTCTTCTGTACCAGTCCCAATACCCTATTACTATTATTTTTGAGTCATAGTCTCACTCAGTCTCTCAGGCTGGAGTATAGCAGTATAATCACAGTTCATCACAGCCTTGACCTCCAGGAAGATTACTCAGCCTCTTGAGTAGCTGGGACTACAGTCGTGTGCCACGACACCCAGCTCATTTTTTTTTCTTCCCAGAGATAAGGTCTTGCTATGTTGCCCAGGCTGAGGAAACCTCAGCCTGCCTCTTCTTTTGGCTAGGATTGTCCCAGGTAGAAAACCATGAATAATCCTGGTCTTCTTACGTGCTCTGGAAAGCAAACTCTTCTAACCTAGGGCCACAGAAAGACTTCAGGGGAGATGTGAATTTCTTGAAATTGTGTGCAAAAGTACTTATATGTTCATGCCTGGATTTTTCAGAGAACAGGGTTCATAGTTTTTATTAAATTCTTAAGCTAGTCCATGAATTCACAGACCCTCCCCCAAATGTTTTCAAACATTACAAAACAGAGCTATGTAACAGAATTTATTTACTTTCAAAGTATGGGCACACAGCACCTGGTACTGTTATAAAATGGAGAAAAATCAACAAAATCTGTTTCAGGGCAGTAAGTCAGGAGATAACACTAGTACCTGTCCCAGGTGCTTTGAACAATACTGAAACTTGTATATTACTGCACCTGCCCCATTTTCAGCACCTGTCCCAGTGAATACTGCAAAAAGAAATTTAGAGTTTACAGGAAGTCTGCTGTTAGCCCTTATACAAAGGCATGGTTAGAGTTTTGGAAAATTCTGACTGTCTCATAAAGAAGTGTTTTAAAACCCAAGTGAGTACTTGCATTCTGAGTAGCCAAATGCCTCATAATGAAACAGCTTAACACCATCGCCCACAAAACTGGGTCAACTTTGTAACTGATGGGCACTGACCGTTTTTTTTTCTTCAGAGCTAGGGTCATACTTTCTCACCCAGGCTGAAACGCAGTGGTGTGATCACAGCTCATTGCAGCCTCAACCTCTGGGGCTCAAGTGATCCTTCTGCCTCAGACTCTGGAGTAGCTGGGACTGAAGGTGTGTGCTACCATGCCCGACTAATTTTTTTAAATCACTTTTATTATTATTTTGTAGAGGTGCGGGGGTCTTGCTATGTTTCCCAGGCTGGTCTCAAACTCTTGGCCTCAAGCGATCTTTCTGCCTTGGCCTTTCAAAGTGCTGAGATTACAGGCATGTGCCACATGCCAGGCCCAAGCATTTGACCTGCAAAAAGGAACGGCTTTCCCACCAAAGCCAGCCCCTCCGCCTTACCTTTGGCCTGTGCCTGCTCTTAGAAGGCAGCCCTGGGCTTCCCTGGCATTTTCCATGTCCACCCACCACATCTGGTCTGCTCACACTGGCCTTGTCTTTTCAGGGAAAGTCATGGGATCCAATTGTTTGCAGAAACACACAAGGTAATTTTTCTTGCATGAATGATTGTTGTAATGATCGTACAAGCTGTTACAAATGATTAGCTACTACTCAGTGGTTTAATGACTTGTGCTCGTGTTCTGATTAAACACAGAGTTGGAGCTGATGACATTAGAGGTGAAAAAGTTGTGCGGGTTTAGTTCATGTTTACCCGTGCCTTGGTTAACACTGTGTGTCTGAGCAAAATGCAAACAAAGGCAGGTGGCATTCATAGAAGTATAGCAGGCAAAAGAAAGGTGACAGCACATGTTCTCACCACTTGAAATTCTTTGTTCAATTATAGATGACTCACTTTAAGAGGACAATGTTAAACAGAGTTCCTTGACAGGAGGATGTTTTTTCTGAGATTTGGTTCCTCTGCCCATTAGACACAGGAGTAACTTTTTTGTTGTTTTGGTGGGGGTTGTTTGCTTTTTGAGTTGGGGTCTCACTCTGTCACCCAGGCTGGAGTGTGGCATGATCATTTCTCATTTCTCATTGCAGCTTCAACCTCCTGGGCTCAGGTGATCCTTCCAAGTCAGCTTCCTGAGTAGCTGGGACTACATGCATGAGCCACCACACCCAGCCTTTTTGGGGATTTTTTATTTAAGTATTTGAAATTTCTCTAGTGAGAAATTTTTTTTTAATATCTTCCCTGTTTTATAGCTTTTTTTTTTGTCCTATGAGTTCATCACAATATTATTTTATTTTATTTTATTTTTAGAGACAAGATCTCTTATGTTGCCTAGGCTGGTCTTGAACCCCTAGGCGCAGGCAATCCTCTCACCTCGACCTCCCAAAATGCCAGGATTATGGGTGTGAGCCACTGTGCCCACCCCACAATATTTATTAACAAATAAATATTAAGTAGGAAAACTGTGGTCCAGTAAGTCATCTTCCAAAATCATGTTTGCAGACCTTTTGGTAAATAAATGCATTTGGATCATGATTCTATATTTAACTAAGAAACTTCAAAACCTCCTTATTATAATAGATGGGCAGAAGCCCTTTAACCCTGTCACTTCAGTTTTCCCATCTGTAAAATGTGAAGCTTGGACTGGATGGACTCTGAACCCTTTGGACTCTCAGGGCAGTTGCACTGAACTTAGCATCAGGGTTTTGTTTTATTCTGTTTCCTGCTTTTGTGTTTCTCACGATCAACCTCTTTTCTGTTTGCAGGTTAGACGACAGCGGAGATAGTAAAAATGTCCTCAGTGATATGCAGCATGAAAGGGAAGATGAAAACGGCCTCTTTACACTCTAACATGCCACTTCTTGGGGTTCAGGGTGGGGGCATGACACCTGAAGGACCAAATGAAGTCTTCGTATGTTTTGTTTTTTTGTTTTATAAAAAAAACCCACCTAGTCCATGAATGTCACTGACCCAGGCTTGCTTTAGTTGTACAAGCGAGAGGAATTTTAGAGACCACACCTTCTCCACCCATGCTTTAATCATTTCTGTAGTATCATTGCTAAGTGATCTTTCACACTATGTTTGAACACTTTGATGATGGTGAACTCATCACCACACCCAAGGGAGTCTATTCAGTCTCAGGACAGTTCTGAAATTACAGAATATTTAGGCCAGCTGTGGTGGCTCAGGCCTGTAATCCCAGCACTTTGGGAAGCCTAGGCAGGAGAATCACTTGAGGCTAGGAGTTTGAGACCAGCCTGGGCAACATAGCAAGACCCTGTCACTCTAAAAAAATTTAAAAATTAGCCAGACGTGGTGGTACGCCTGTAGTCCCAGGTACTTGGGGGAGTGAGGTGGGAGGATCCCTATGATCATGCCACTGCATTCCAGACTGGGTGTCAGAGTGAGACTCTGTCTTAAAATTAAAGGAGAAGGAGAAGGAGGAGAAGGAGAAAAATATTTAAAGCAAAATCTGTCACCAGATAACACCTGGTTGTTGGTCCTGGTTGAACTAATTGTGCATATACAAAACATGTCTGATCTCTCTTTTACCTGAAAGCACTCCAGATACTGGAAGAACCAGATGTTCCTCCAAATTTCCATGCTTCCGGGCCATGGTTTCCAGTCCCTTTGCTGCTTGAATTGCCTTCCTCTTGTATGTGTTTCTCTCTCTTTTATGACCCGTTTTCAGAACTCAGTGCCCCATTCTAGGATGCTATGAGCCACCCAAAGTCTATACTTCATTATTAATGCGGGAAATGACCTGAACTCACACCATGATCTTGACTCACTTCTAAAACTTCTACATTTTCTGTTATTTGCTTTTCACATTTGAGTATGACCATTTAGAGGTGACCAGAGTGTCACATCTTAGTTTTTTCCTGGGGAATTTAATTTTGGAAACAGCAAAGAGTCCATGGGACCAAATTGTGGTGAAAGGGCCATCCAACCAGGGGCAGCGCTTGGGTGTGACAGCAAGGTCATCCAAATAGCTTCTCTACATGGGATGCATGGACATTTACTCCTCAATAACAACCAGTTTATTTATTTGTAAGCTTCAATAACTACTAGAGTCAGGAACACTAGGAGAGATAAAAGCAAACAGTTGAAGGAATGGATAAAAAAGTGTGCCGGAGTGAGAGAAGCTTCTGGCTGGGTAGAAATATGGTAAATGGCTGGAGTGGTGGCTCATACCTGTGATCCCAGCACTTCAGGAGGCCAAGGCGGGAGGATTGCTCGAGTCCAGGAGTTCGAGACCAGCTTGGGCAACATAGACCTCGTTTCTACAAAAAATTTCTTTAAAATTAGCCAGACATAGTGGCACACACCCGTAGTCTAGGCTTCTCAGAAGGCTGAGGAGGAAGGATCGTCTGAGCCCAGGAGGTTGAGACTGCAGTGAGCCATGATTGTGCCACTATACTCCAGTCTGGGTAATGGAGTGAGACCCTTACTCAAAAAGCAAACAAACAAACAAAACAAGCCGGGCTCAGTGACTCAGCCTGTAATCCCGCGCCTTTGGGAGGCTGAGGTGAGTGGATTGCATGAGCCCGTGGGTTCGAGACCCGCCTGGGCAGCGAGACCTCATCTCTACAATAAGTCAAAAAATCAGCCGGGCGTGGTAGCGCATGCCTGTAATTCCGGCTACTCGGAAGGCTGAGGAGGAAGGATTGCCGGAGCCCAGCAGGTCGAGGCTGCGGTGGCCAGGAGCGGCCCCTGCACTCCAGTCTGGGCAACAGAGTGAGACTCCAACTCAAAAAACAAACAAACAAGCAAACAAACAGAAACAAACAAACAAAACCAAGAAAAAGAAATGTGGAAAGTAACCTAGATCTGAAAGATGATTCTCTGATGTGCTTCTTGGCATGTTTAAAGCAATAGTGGGCTGGGCTCGATGGCTCAGCCTGTAATCCTGCGCCTTGGGAGGCTGAGGTGAGTGGATTGCCTGAGCCCGAGGGTTCGAGACCTGCCTGGGCAACTTGGTGAGACCTTATCTCTACAATAAATCAAAAAATTAGCTGGGCGTGGTAGCATGCACCTGTAGTTCCAGCTACTTGGAAGGCTGAGGTGGAAGGATTGCTGGAGCCCAGTAGGTCGAGGCTGCGGCGGCCGGGAGCGGCCACTGCACTCCAGTCTGGGTGACAGAGTGAGACTCCAACTCAAAAAAAAAAAAAAATTCAATAGCAGCAATAATGGAATAAGCACATGGCTCTCCAAGGTAACTATCTTTTGAATTTTTACTCTCCTGATATTTCCTTTAAGAGAGAAAATATCAGTCTCATTTCTTAACTGGTGCAGCCTAGAGATTCCTTGCCCTGTTAGTTCATACCACACTGATCCAGCAGTTAATAAAAATCCCCCTCACCCTGGGCACTTGGGGAAAAACTGGGGCGGGGCAGCCTGCTTTCTGGTTCATTCTGATGTTAGTGCTAGGTTTGGCCCAAGTGACAGAAACAACAATCAGCAGATTGTTAGCTGCTGCCTTTTCTTTTTTGGCTTGAGTTGTCTTCATGCTAGTTTAAGATACTGGAAATGGGCTGGGCATGGCGGTTCATGCCTGTAACCCTATAGCAATTTAGGAGGCCAAAGTGGGAGGACCACTTGAGCCCAGGAGTTTGAGACCAGCCCGAGCAACTTAGTGAAACTTCTTCGCTTAAAAATACAAACAAACAAAAAACCCAAAATTAGCTGACCTTAGTCCTAGCTGCTCAGGAGGCTGAGGCAAGAGGATCCCTTGAGCCCAGGAGGTCATGGCTGTAGTGAGCTCTGATCATGCCACTGCACTCCAGCCTAGGTAACAAAGCAAGACCCCCATCCTCTCTTTCTCTCTCTTTTTCTTCTCTCTCTCTCTCTCTCTCTCTCTCAC